GGACAAATGTTTTTCCGCTGCTTTTATAAATAAAATAAATTTTGTTTGACTTATTTATTTATTTGTTTACTTCCTTGCAATGAAATCGTTATGAAAATTGATGTTTGCATATTTCTACAACGAATGGATATGATTCTTAGTTATGTTATTTATGGAAATGTCGAGAATTTACCAAATAGGGAGAGTTTCTCATCGCCCAAAGTTTCAATTGGACAAAATTTGGAATCACGCAACTTGGTTGCATGATGAATGAGAAATTTCATATTTGGAAATTAGACTAATTCGTTGACAAAGTGTCAAGTGAAGGACTAGGAGATCGAGTACACAAAGTTGTGTGTTGATCAAGTTCACCATAAGAGTAACAAATATTCGTCATGATTTACTAAAGGCTTAGTAAATATGATTACACTTACAAGATTAAGTGTAATTCTGAATTGATTAAAGGGTTTAGATCAATAGTAGAACGAATAAGAAGAATCAAGTAGGCAGAAAGATAAAAGTTTCTCCATTCTAAGAAGAAGGGAGAGTAGCTTTTATGCTTTATGATAGGTCTTAATGATTAAGAACCATATCTCAATTGATCCTCTAAGTGAGTCTTGGTACAATTGTATGTCCAAGAAGAGGAATCAAAGATTGAAGAAATGGTCAAATCAAGAAGTCATACTTCGTTCCAAAACAAGTCTTAAAGTCAAGATTGTGACATTGAGTGAATAGTATTAAGAAGGTTTATAACATTCATCAATTGTGGAAAGTTGTGATGTCTTGATAAGACAAAGACCAACTAAGACCAAAATTATGAAGTGTTTTGATAAAAACTACACTAACTCTTGAATATTTGTTTGTCAAGAAATGTTTATTGACAAAAGAATCTTATATGTCAAGGAGTCAGTGGGAGTCTTAATAGTCTTGAAAAGTTTCAAGAACAAATCAAATAAACCTTATCGATCATCACTAGCACACGAGTTGAGGTTTACAACCTATCGTGAAGACATTATTTTGTTTCTGTGCCAATCCAATCGAGTTAATTATGCATGTGAGTCCTATGAGTTCTCATTTGAATGCATAAAAGGCAAGGACCTTGATCAATGGAAAGTACATTGATAGGAAAAGGTGAGCTGCTTAACTACTTGGAAGACGTGGTGGGCAGCTGTGCTACCATAAGGCAAGAAATCAAGATTAAGGAAGTTCGATCCATATGAGTTTGAATTTGTCGTAAACTTTGGTTTTAACAAATTCACATGGATAGGAACAAATACACCATTTAAATCTAAGTGTCATAAGATTTCCTCCTTCATGAAAATGATTGTGAGGAAATGCTTTCACTAAGAAAGATTTTAAAAGATAGTGATTGTAAAATTGCATTCTCGAATTCGATCATGGTTACGGCATCCCTTTCCATAATTTGAATTGTGAGGTTTGGAATTAGTCTTAATTGTTAAGACACACATATGAACTATCTAAGGCAAAGGTGTATAAGTTCAAGAAGCCTTGATAAAAGATTATCAAAGCACTAAGTATTAAAACATGACTTAAGAAATTCAATAGTATTGTTTTCTGAAAGTTAAGATGTTTATGAATACATGTCGAAGCTAGTGGGAGCATAAGTGTTATGTTTTATAATAATCATCATGATAGTGGGAGCATAAATGTTATGATTGTATGATTATTAAGGCAAGTATTGCATAGTTGGCAATATTAATTATAGAAAACAAGAGTCATACTTTGCAAAGTTGTAAGAGTTGAAAGGTTGTTTTGCTATAATTAAGGGAGAGAATATTATGCTTCATTTCAAATCTAAAGGATTAGGTTGTGGAATGTTAATAAATTTAGTCAAAGGTACATAGTGTGTTCTTAAAATTTCGATTATGATTATGGCATTCCTCTTCACAATTCGAATTTTGAGAACATCGAAAATAAAACATTGTGCGTCGTGTCCCATACGCTTCGAGTATAGGATCGATTGCAAATGATTTAATGTTTGACCATTCTAAGATTTTCCAAATGTCTAGTGCATTTAGAGGGAAAAGGGACTAGAATCGGCTTTGACTAAAATAATTAAACAACTATCAAAGGACAATCCAATGTTCGACGAGGATTGGTCGCTTGTGAGTAGTAGGAAGTATAGTATTGGAAATTATGGAAATATTTCCATATTGGATGGACAATATCGACATCATTACGAATAGATAAGATTCTATTAAGAAATTAGTTGTCATATGGAAAATATGGAAGCGTGTCCATATTGGGAAGTAAATATTGAAAATCTATGACTAGATTAGAAACCTTTATGCAAAAGGATGTTCAAAGGAATGTACTTTGAGAGAGAGACATCATATCTAAGGAATTGTCTTGTAACAATCTCCGATAGAGGACTTTGTAATATCATTGGCAATAGTCTTTGAGACTTTGGTGCAGTGACATTACAAAAGGATCGTTGCATAAAGTGTTAGAATCTAGTATATTCTATAAGTAACAAGAATTTGATATTCTTACACTTAAGAAAATGGATTTGGAGTTGTAAAATGAGAATGATTGGAAATGTGTTCAATTTGTCTATTTTACAAAAGTAAGAACCATAGGTAAACATTGTGTGCATGCTAGGAGCATGGGACAAGGGTAATAGTTCAAGTATAAAGTTGATTACCCGAAACGACAAATAATGAGTAATCGATATGGTGATAAATAAAACGTGTTTTGTTTATACTCAAAGGTTTGAGGCCATATGGGATTAGTATTATTCTTGTGTTTCACCTTGCATGTTTTGACTTCCAGAATAATTGAGTTTATTAAGAATAATCGAATTATTCAAACGGGTCACAGTCGTTCATATGTTGGAAGTAGATATGAATGAAGACTGTCATGAATTAGTGTGTGGATTGTCTAGAAAAGTATTAGACATAAGCAAATGTTTGCTGCAACGTTCATGAGTGCTTATGAATATGATTTGAGCATTGGATTAAACCCACGCTCACTTGGATCACTATCTCGAGTGATTAGTGAGACGATAACATCTTATATTCTTGAAACCGAGATGTGTGAGTTGTATCTTGCGAATCGGTTGCACATTGATAATATGTAAACGCACCAGTAACTTGGTGTTATAAAACATATTGTTGTGTGTAATTCGGTGAGTGAGTACAAGCGAGCATTGTATCAAAGTTTATCCATTTCTTTTATCCAAGGTAGGATAAAAGCGATATCTTTGGGCCCCTCGATGGTTTAGTGATGACATACGTAAATGCTCGGTCGGGCTAGGGCTAATTTGATTTGTTCAATTAGTCTGTCGTCATAAATCGGAAATCGAGATATAGTACAAAGAGAATGATTAGAAATCATATCTCATACGATATCTAGAATGGAGGAATATATGATCCCTTATCTAAGGACACGCGTATCTGATATGATCAGAGTTGACAGCGGCTTTGGAAAGCTACGATTGCAGATCAGGATCTGAAGTCATACGCAGAATAGTTGTTAGACTTATCCAAGTGGGAGACTGTTGGATTAGTGTCTAAGTCCATAACTATTTTGGTATGTACTTGACCCGATGGTGCATGGTCCTTTTGGGTTGCCTTCACCAAAGCAACTTGATAGGATGAATTATGGAGAGTAAGGATTAAATATGATTTATTAATATATTATGGGAATAATATATTAAAGGAGAAATCATATTGTTTAATTAATATTAGTCAATAATTAATTGGTAATTAGTTTTGTGACTAAAAGAGATTAATTAAACTTAAGGGACTGGAATTGTAATTATAGATAATTAATTTGGGCCATGGATTGCCTTATATTAAGGGATGGACGAATTCTAATGGGAAACCCATAAGGAAATCGTCCATGGGCTTGATAAAGGAGTCTATGGGTTGCTTAGGGCTTAAGCATCCAAATTAGGGTTTCCTTGTTAGATAACCCTAATAGCCCAACTATATAAAGACCCCTTAAGGCTCAAAAACGTGGCTAATGATCTTTCTAGGGTTTCTACACGTTTTTGGTAGCCTCCATCCTCTCTCCTCTTCATCCTCTTGCTTATGGTGTTTGTGAACCATTAGAGGAGTGACACTTGTGACTCTAAGCCTTCCAAAGTCAATTCAAGGAGATTTGGGATTGTTATTGCTACATAACAATCAAGGTAACACTATAAACTTATTCTCATGTTAATATGATTATATGTATGCTAGAATTAGGGTTTATAGTCTTGGATTCAAAGCATGTACAATAGAGAAACCTAGATCCAAGCATTAGGGTTTGTATGAGCACATAGGATGTCTTATGACCAAAACCCATCATATATCTGAACTCAAACTGAGGATTTGAGAAAGTTTTACATAAAATAATCAATTTTTCTAAGAGAGTAAAAGATTTTGAGAAAGGAAGAACGGAGCAGCGTGTACGATCAGCCAGCGCCCACATAGAGATTTCCCAAAATACCCTTGCATTACGTGTTATGAGATATGATATGATATGATATGTTATGCAGGCCAGAGTAGGCTAAGTATTCATATTAGGACTAGAGTGGCTTGATTTGTGATTCCTTAGCCTAGGGGATTACTGCTGCTCTGAAATGCTTCGAGAGTGAGTAGGTAGCAGTGAGGAGCTTATGAGAAGTCTACCGGAGGGTAGCCTATGCTTAGCGAGATATAGAGTACTTGTTATCTGGGATCCAAGGAGGAGGACTTGGGGTGAATACTCATGCAGTGTGGATGGTAGTATAAGGTCCCGTACTACTGAAGACACTGGAGCAGTGAGCACTCCAAGTAAGAATCCTTAGGGTACTAGGGAACAAGCAGGGTTGAGTTATCGAGTGCGAGTATGCTCGAGTGAGTCTCTGATGTTTTTATGTTGAGTTTTAGAGATATCATGTTTGGGACATGCCACACACCTGAGAGCAGCAGTGTCAGTGATGAGAAGATGTGTTAGTTGATATCATGGTTGGGACACGCCACACACCCAAGGACTTTGATTTGATTGCACATTTTGAGTTTAGGTTTTGGGGGTTATAGAAGGCCCAGGCGGATCATTTCTTGTCGGGCTTTTTCAGTGGCAAGGCATCTTTGAGTTCGGAGTCTTTTGCATTCTTTTTGGGTGAGTTTTAGAGGCTGAGGCGAGGGTGGGGTGAGTTCGGCTGGCAGTTCGATTGGGTGGGGTTGTTCCATGTATAGAGTTATCTTCTCTTTCTTTAGTATATCTTCAGGAGGCCCGCCTTTTGTGACGTTTCCGTAAGTACCAAAATCAAGAACTTGCACGTCCCACCACTCAACATCAAGAATAGGTTCTTTCGGCTTTTCTTTGTTAATAATTCTCTTGGCTACCTCTATGAGAGTTGGGTTAATATCACGCTGATGTGCTTGTTTTACTTCTTGTGCTTCACCAAATTGACTCTTCAACTTGATAATTTTGGCCTCTTTAGCCCAATTCCCTTCCTCAACAAACTGAAAGGTCATCTTTTGAGGCCTTAAAAGTTTAGTTTTATCGATTCCCATTTGAGGATCAAAGTGAGGGTTTTCATCTAGATCCACTTCTAATTCTGGTTTCAGAATCTGGAATGCATCTTTCTTCTGTTTGTTAATGTTAACCTTAAGGGTGCTCAAGATGTTTAACTTTGGTATATTTACCACATTGCATTTTCATTGACTTCCCTACCAAATGCATCCAAACTAGGAACAAGGGCTTTAGCAGGCTTTAGTTGTATAGCCACTTCTGGTGCAAGCTCTCCCGGGAACTTGTATATAAGTGGAGCAAATTTTGGGTCTTGTCTAAAACCCATCTTGGCAGCAAGCTCTTGTGCCCGTTTTACAGCTTCATGAGAATTTCGGGGCAACCCACCACCATGTCGGGCAGCAGATTGTGGTGGGCAGTGGGTATTCCTGAACTACATGGAGGTTTGAGGCCATCTCTTGCTGAGTCAGTACCCTTGTTTAACTATGGGATCTTCTTCATCTTTTCTGCAAGTCCCTTGTACTTCAGTAAAGTTGCTTTAGCCATAGATAAAGCATTGAGAGAAATGCCTCCAATCTTGCCAGCATCTGCAGAATCAACTCCTTCAGTTTCATGTTTGGTAGAAAGTGATGATACCTTAGAAGGAGGAAGAGGGTAGCTGGGCGCCAAAGGGGTACTAGGTGCTCCCAGTGCACCACCACAGGGTTCATCTTTAAGTTCATTCTTCATCATCGTCATTGTTTCCCCGTTCAATTTCCGTTGTTGCAACTTATCTCCATCCTCGAATTCCTTACTCTCATCCTTATCTCTGTCTTCCTCAGCAGCGGCAACTTTGTCCTGATCAAAGAGCCGCCACTCGTGCACAACATAAGTTTGTTTATCGCCATACCGATCCTCCTCATCACTCTCTCCACCTCTATCTTTCCTCTTGCTGCTTCGATACTTGGTGTCGCGATCGAAATCCCATCTATCCATCTTGTTCTTCCTTCTTTTTTTCTAGGGTTTTGAGCAATCAGAATTATTTTATACTTTTAAGTTTTCAAATATGGTTATAAAGTTGTCAAAATCTAAATTAAAAGTATCCCTACAAGAAATCTTGGCATTACCGGCGACGCCTTTAGCGGCGACATGTAATTGACTTGTTACATGTCGCCGCTAAAGGCGTCGCTGGTAATACTCGAAAACATCGATCCGCGTCAAATTACCTCCATCCATCCGATTTGTTTTCAATCCAACGGTTGTAGAGGAAAGCGAAAACCCGCTGACTTTTCCCTCAAAGGTGTCACCGTTATTTCCCTATCGTCTCCGCTAATACACTAGTGTTGCCGCTATTGCCTATCGCCACTAATACTTGTGCAGATAACCCCTTTCTAGTTTCCTTTTTTGCAACATTTCCTGCTGTTTGTTTCCTTCTCTCGCTGTCGTTTCTTGTTACCTCTTCTCAATAAATCGACTATGTGGAGGAAGAAGAATTAAGGCGGTGCTAGCCCTCCTGCCACCACAAGACCGCCACACCTTCCCCCGTTACCGGCTACCATTGTGCTTAATTCCGAAATTGCCCACGTTCAAGGTCAAATTCCTCCTATTTGATATTATTTTTCTATTTTGAATGATGAAGTTGTTTGATTATATCGGAACGTGCCTCTTCAATTGTTGTTATATTGCTGATAAACACAAGACCCATTCGTATTTTTTTTCTTGCTTATTATTTGTTGATGAATATATAAATTGATGCTATATGTGGGAGATTCTCTCTTAAATTGTTATTAGATCACCTATAAACTCAAGACCATTAGTATTTTTTCTTGCTTCTCTGCTTGCTTCTCTGCGCCATGAAGGATCGATGAGGAAGAAGCAGGAGGTATCAAACTTCCTAATTTAACCAAACTCCATTACAAATATATATGATCAGCCCCTCAACTTCTGATTTGTACGGTTTTAGTCCCTTGCTCTAAAAAATAATTAAAAGTCTAGTCTTAAACAAAGAAACTTCAGTTAAAATCTTCAAAGTTTACCCTATTGAAATTGGCATGAAATTGGTTTAAAAATGAAATTTGTCATGTTTTTGTAATTTTTGTTTATACCACATTGGCTTAAAAATGAAACTTATGTATGTTTTTGTAATTTTTGTTTATACCACATTGGCTTAAAAATGAAATTTGGCATGAAATTGAAATTAGATATTGAAATTGGATGTATATATACATTTGTTTAATTTTGTTTAATTCAAAAATCAAATTAACTTATTTTTAGAATCAAATTAAGTTACCTTTATAAAATCAAATTAAATCAATTATAAAACCAACTTAATAGTAACATACTTTTGGTGACTTAATGTTGGTCATTACAACTTTAGCTTAATTAGGTTATTAATAGCAATGTACTTCTAGTAATTTTAATTTAATTATAAAATTAAATTAAATTAATTTTAAAAAAATCAATAAAAAATAATAAATTAATTGTAAAATCAAATTAAAGTAGTTTTAAAATCAAGTTAATGTTAATATTAAAATAAAATAAAATTAGTTCAAAAAGTTAAACTAAATTAATATATATATATATATATATACATATATATATATATATATATATATATATATATATATATACACTTTTTTAATACTTTATCCATTTCTGATTATTTGTTCATGTGTTCCCATGTTGGGATACTTTTGGAATTATCAACTTTATGAATACTCTACTTGATTTTCGTTTCCCGTAGAGTAAACCTTAAACACTAAATTATGTTTCAGTTGCATCATGTCTATTGATAAAAGTTGGATTACTAATTCACATCGTTAATCTCTCAAGTTCCAGCTAGGACTTGACTTTTTTGTCGAGAGATCCATGTTACACCTAGATTGTAAAGGTGAAACCAGATGTCCGTGTGAAAAACGTGATAATCTTTACTTCGTGGATCCGAAAGCAATGAGACGTCTTGTTTGTATATATGGTTTTAGTCAATCATATGACACGTGGATATATCACGGTGAACCTTTAATCCCTCCAATTGTAGATGTCGTATCGCCAAGCAACGTGATGGCTGATGTTATTGACGATGTTATGTAGGAGTCGAGAGAAAATGATACAAACCTCGATGAAGGAACCTCGAATACAGGGGGTAGTAGTGTCAATGATGATTTTAAAGAGTTGTTAGAGGCAGTCGAAAACCAAGTTATATCCTCGTTGTACGTTATCTTTCCTTGATTTATTAGCAAAGCTGACGCATATGAAGTTCAACAACAAATGGACTGATAGTTCATTTGATCAACTCCTTGAGTTGTTGCGTTCGGCATTTCCACAAGACAACAAGGTTCCCCGTTCATATTATTTAGCAGAAAAGAAACTGAAGAAGTTAGGTTTGGTGTACGAGTCAATTCATGTGTGCAAAAACGATTGCTTTCTCTTCTGGAAGGAACACAAGTCATTGCAAGTTTGTCCTGTTTGTAAAGAGAGTCGGTGGATTGATAAAAACACCAAGGGTAAGAAAATGGCTCATAAGGTCTTACGTTACTTTTCAGTGACTCCTAGACTACGCCATATGTATTGTTCATGGTCACTTCTAAAAATATGATATGACATAGTACTGGGTGATCAGAAGATGGTGTGATGCATTATCCCATTGATGGAGAGTCTTGGCAAAAATTTGATGTGGATTACCCTGACTTCTCGAGCGAACCTCGCAACGTATGTCTAGGGCTGGTAGCTGATGGCTTTAATCCATTTGGTAACATGTCTAATCCACATAGTACGTGGCCAGTTGTACTCACCGTATACAATTTTCCACCATGACATTGGTATGAAAGAGTCATTCATGTTGGCCTTGTTGATTCTCGGTCCTAAAGTGCTAGGAAAGGACATAGATGTTTTCCTTAGGCCGTTACTGGAAAAGCTTAAGTTTTTATTGCAATCAGGCATACGTATTAAATACGTAGAGACAAACACATTCTTCACGATGAAAGCTATGTTGTTATGGACAATAAACGGCTTTCCAGCTCGTAGTAGTTTATTGGGTTGGAGCAGACAAGGGTATAGAGCATGCTCGACTTGCAATGAAGACACTCCTTCGTACCTTGCAGTAAATAAAGTCGTTTATATTGGTCATCATCGGTTCTTAGATGCTGATGATCCATTAAGGATGAGTTTGAAATTTAATGGGCAACCCGAGATAAGACCCGCTCCGAGACACTTTACCAATGAAGACATACAAGAGCAACTAGGTCGTCTAATACTTTGTAAATCGGGTAAACATCCTAACACTCTCAAGGAAAACATGGATCGGAAAGGATTCGAGTTGAACCGGTCGAAACGTAGCATATTTTTCGAGCTCGAGTATTGGTCTTCTTTGCAGCTGAAGCACAACATAGATTTGATGCATGTCGAGAAAAATGTGGGTAAAAGTCTTTTGGGTACTTCTATGATGAATGATAAGAGTAAAGATACATCAAATACATGTGAGGACTTGAGAAATATGAATATCTGGTGTAATCAATCGTTGTAAAAAAAAAGGGTAACAAGTTCAGTAGACCACATGCAAGGTACTCGTTCAATAAACCTGACCGCAAAAAAATTTGTCAATTTATAAGAGATGTTAAATTCCCTGATGGGTTTGGATCTAACATCAGTAACAAAATGGTAGATAATAATACTAACATTATTGGGTTGAAATCTCATGACTATCACATTCTTATGCAACGTTTGATACTGATAGGAGTTAGAGCATTATTGGACAAAGAAACTTCTACATCAATTGTAGATCTTTGTACGTTTTTCAAGCAAATTTCCTCTAGAACACTAAAGGTGGAGGATTGAGGAAAGCAAAAGAAGACATTATTAGAATCTTGTGCAAGTTAGAGTTGATTTATCCTCTAGTGTTTTTTGACATTATGATTAATTTAGTTTTGCATTTACCTGATGAAGCGATTACCAGAGGCCCGGTATGTATGAGATGGATGTATCCGTTCGAAAGGTATATGAAAAAACTAGAAAACTATGTCAGAAGTAAGGCGAGGCCAGAAGGTTGTATAGCTAAATGTTATGTTGTTGAAGAAGCTTTGTCATTTTGTTTGATGTACCTTCGAGATGTCACTCGCATTGAAAGAAATGTAGATGTTGTCATTGAAAAAACAAAGTTTTGCATGTTTGAGTCCAAGTGTCGAACGACGAGTGCAACACAAATCAAACATCTTGATATAAGGGAGAAATGTAATAATGTAATATATAATGGTTTATATTGAATAGTTGTCAAGAAGTCAGACAATACATCGAGTAAGTGTTCTTACTTTTAATTATCTTTTATTAATTATTGTCACTTTTTTCCATTCATCAATTATATATATATATATATATATATATATATATATATATATATATATATATATATATATATATATATATATATAGGGAAAAGTGAATATACCCTTAAGGGTGTATAAGCTTAGGTACCCAAACACACCATAATACGTCGTTTTGTTTGATATATTTATAATAATGTTCTTAGACATAAACCTCTAACTTGATTTAATGTCAAGATTTTTGAAATTCACTATTATCTTTCTTTTATATCACATCTTTTTATCGAATACGTATTAGGCTACATATATTATAGTTGAAAATGAAAATTATGTAAGATGAAGATAAATGTGTAATTTATAAAAATTATGGAAATAAATCAAGTTAGAAGTTATATTATAAGAATATTAGACAATTAGAATGGATTATATAATACAAAACGACGTAGTATTGTGAGTTTGGGTACGCAAGCTTATATACCCTTAAGGGTATATTCACTTTTCCCATATATATATATATATATATATATATATATATATAATTTATTTTCATCAATATAGAAAATTTAAATCTGAACATCCTGAAGGTGACGAAAAGACCGAATTTCCCAACTGGTTTCTTGAAAAGGTAATAATAATTAACAAACAAATATCTTTGATAATTAATATAATGAACCAAGAATA